TTTTTTTTTTTGGTGGAACCAGGGACTGAACTCAGGCCCTTGTGCTTGCCAGGGAAGCGCTTATTCCACTGAGCCATCTCCCCGGCCCTGGCTGGTCTTTTAAAATGAGAAACCACATTCTGGTGTGTAGATAAGATGCGGCGGAGAGAATGAACAGTCTTGGCCATGGAATTTGGATGTTTGTATGTAAAGCAATCAAGGGGTCAGGGTAATATTATGGCCTTAGTAATTTTTTGTAGTCCTAGAACATTTTTAACTGTTGAATTAGATTAGGGAGAATTAGATTAGTAACAGTTACTCAGTTACTTGTTATTAAACAGCCTTAAACAGAGTGAGAACACATTCTTTAGAGTAGATAACAGGAAGCATAAGGGAACCTAATAGTTTTGCATAGTTGCGGCGCAAAATTCAGTGAGCCCATTTCAATGCCCTGCTCCCTCCATCACTGGCTCCCACCAGGCCTCAGCTGTTGTAGAGCCCAGAGCACCTGGACCACATGACCACACGAGGTCACACAGGCTGTCCTCTGAGATGGGCTCCTCAGCACCTGGCACCTATCCAGAAGGCCCCTGTATCTTGTCCCCACCCCAAGGCCTCAGCCTAGCCCTAAAGCTCAGGAAGCTGCTTGGTCAGGGGCTGCACAGGTGAGGTCAGTGAGGGGGCACAGGACGGGCGCCTCAACTGAATCTGTGTCCCAAACCCACAGCACTCAGTGCTATGCTGTGTGGAGGCCCCCCACGGATGTCACCCCAGCTGCCACTCATGAGAACCCCTCTGGTCTGTGCAGGTGTCTGGGACACCCGTAGGTGCTCCCATAGAGCCTGACACCTTTGGTCACTTCCCACTACAGCTCCCACCCAGCCTGGCCTTCTGGCGTCTGCACCCCAGCTCCCAGCTCCCAGGGGCTCCAAGGGTCTTTCTGCCCACCCCCTCATGGCAGCTCGAATGGTGCTCCGTCTTGGTGGGGAGGGGACAAAGACTCTCAGGGTGGACACTGCAGAGTCAGGGCTGGCACATCTGCTGCCTCCTGTGGGGCACACATCTCTCAACCAAGAACCACCAAGGGCCATCACAGTTGTCCCTGTACTGCCCATGCGCGGAGGTACAGGACCTGTCCTCTCTGGCACACGTCAGCTTCCCAGTGGGTCCTGGACTGCACCTCCCACCTCTACCTGCTCAGGCCTCCAGCTCCCCACCCATAACTTGCTTTCCCCTCTAATCCTCCAAGCCCCTCCAGTCTCCCCTCCTGAAAGGGAAACTGAGGCTGTGCCCCAATCTGGGCTGGGCTTTTAGAGCCAGTGCAGCAGCTCCCTTGGGCCTCGATGGCCAGATGGTGCCAAGGCAAGGGTCCTGACAGGTGCTGCTGATCATCAGTATTTATCATGAGGGACACGTCACGGTGAGGTATTTAGGGATGAGATTAACATTAGACCACAGAGCCAGCCAGATAGCTCAGTGGACTCGGCTTTGATCCTCTGCATGCCCTGCCAAGCCTACCCCCGGAGTGCGCTGAGATGGCTACTGAGACTGGGCAGGTGGCCTTTAATCCCAGCGCTTGGGAGACTGAAAACAGGAGGATCACTAGGAATTCAATCTGTGTAGTGCCACCCTGTAGACCCTGTACTAAATATACTTAAAAAAAAAAAAAAAGACCACAGATCACAGCGAAGCAAAAGATCCAGTCTTCCCCAGGGAACCCCGCCGACACTGCGACGCGCTCTGCAAGGGCCTGAATGGGCAGAAGCTCGCGGCCCTACACACCGGTGCCCCCGGCCTGTGCCCACCGGCCAGGCCGCACACTTGCTCCTGCCGGCTGCCGCGCACCGCGCACGCCCGGCCCGGAACCTCGACCCGCGACAGCAGTGGCGCACTCAGACTGCTTTACCTGAGCATCTAGTCCAACGCAGGAGGGACAGAGTGGACTCTGACAGAAGTTCAGAAAGGCGGGGCTTAATTACGTGGGCAGGGCTGGCAACTCTCCGGGCTTGGCCAAGCAAGAGGCGGCCGAGTGGCGACGGGTCCGACTGTGGGGGTGGGGTGGGGGCGGGGCGGGAGGGGGATGGTCGCGTAGGGGCGTGGCCTGGCGTGGCCTGGGCGTGGCCTCGGAGGCGGCGCTCCTCTAGCCGCGAAGACCAGTACCCGCGCTACCTTGCGCTTCTCCAGCCCCAAAGCTCCGCGCCCGCACTGCTGCTGCTGTCCACCTCCCGAGGCCCCGTCAGTGCACGCTACTGTCCACACGCGCACGCGAAAGCCTGCGCGGACCTCGGTGCCACATCCTCCGTCCCGCCCGGGCGAGTGTCATCACCGCCATGCGCTCACTCGGGGAGCAGGTGCGCGACTGGCACCAGGGCGCAGAGGCCGTGGCGCGCGGGGACTGGGGCTTCGCGCTGCGCCTCTTCTCAGGCGTCACGGAGCTGCCCTCCAGGATGAGCTTCAACGTGGGCTGTGTGCACCTGCTGGCCGGGGATCCTGAGGCCGCACTGCGGGTGAGCGCCTGGGTGGGGTGGGCCCCTCAGGGTCCAGGGAGGCCGGGAGAGCGTGGAGGCCCGGCCCACAGGGACCCAGGAGAGGGGCCGCCAACCTGGGTCATCTAATTGCCCTGCGCTCCCCCAAAGCCTCCACTAGGAGGCCGAGGCAGGTGGGAGTTGCGTGGCTGGGGTGGGCCCAGCATCCTTAGGGCCTCCACAGTGGGCACCAGACTCAGCATGGCCAGGAGCCAGGGCCTGCACAAAGCCAGGCTCCGAAGCCAAGGCTGTCTGCCTCTAGTCCTGGTGGGCAAGTGTAAAGCTGTTGGCCTGGCAGGGCCTGTGGCCACGGCAACAGATGGGGTTTGACCTCAGCCTTCAGCTCTTGCTGTGTCCCTACTCACTTCTAGAAATCCCCTGGAGCGCCAGGTGCACACAGCCTCAAGCACCTGCCTTTCCAAACACTTCCTGGTCATCAAAGGGTCACCTGTTCTTGGGGAAGTGACAGGAAGCCTTCAGCACCCTGCCTACAACTTGGATAGCTGTTCTCCTGGGCACCATGCAGATGAGGCCCCAGTGCCCACAGAACATCCCCAGGGGGAGCTGGGCAGGCAGAGCTGTCCCACCACCGTGGCTCACTTCATTTACCTCAGTAACAGTTTCCACCCTAAGCCCATCCGGGAAGGGAGCTGCCAGGGTGAGTCAGGCTCATTAAACATGGCGTGAGGAGAGGAGCGGGGCCCAGGTTGTCTTCCGTCTGGGTGGGGGAGCACTGTCTGAAGGTGGGGCATGAGTAGTACAGGACAGCTCAGGCAGGATAGTGACAGGGAGACTAAACAGCCGATGAAAGCAGGGCGTGGTGGCACACACCTGTGGTTCCAGTGCTGGGGAGGCTGAGACAGGAGGGCCACTGCAAGTCCGAGCTGTGTAGTGAGACCCTGTACCAAATAAATAAATAAATAAATAATAAGAACTGCTAAACAGCAGATGAGCAGCGAGGGTTGGTACAACCGGCCATCAAGGGGCCTAGCTGACTGGTGCCTGCTGCTAAGAAACTTGTGCAATGTTGCGTTCAGCTACTGGGTGTGTGGGGCAGTAAATGGCACCCACACCCACTTGGAGGCCCAATTGCCCCTGCTGCAAAGCTCAGGTCAGATCCCTGTCAGCCACAAACACCCGCCCAGTCTGTGGGGTGAGACCACAACCCTCTCCCACCTGGCTTTACTGACGGCCACTGCCCTTGTTTCTGGATGTGACGTGGGAGGAGCAGCGGCCCCCCTTGCCAGGCCTGCCCTCCCGACTTCCGGGTTGCTCTGGTCCTCGTGTGCTTTCGGTGGTGTCTTGTGTGAACTCCCAAAGCGGGGTTCTGAAGAGAAGATCCCGCAGCGCTCCCAAGGCAGGTGCTACCGACATGCAGGACAATGCCTTTGTACATCTGTCCTCATGGCGGACAAACTGGCTTGCAACCCCACCAGCAGAGACCCTGATCCTGTGGCTGGGTGTCTAGGCAGCTGGGATGTGGCAGTTGTGGTGGCAGAGGGGCTATGTGATGCCACCTAGGCTCGTGCCTAAGGCGCTGGACAGTGCCGAATGCAAACGGTTCTCCCCCGGGAGATGGAATCCCAGTGTCTGTGGCATGGGTGGCTGATTACAGAGCTTGTGCTCTCCATGGCATTTTTGTTCCTAGGCATTTGACCAGGCAGTGACCAAGGACACCTGCATGGCTGTTGGCTTCCTCCAGCGGGGTGTGGCCCACTTCCAGCTGCGGCGGTGAGCACAGGGGCCCTTTTGTCTCTGTAGGCTCCTACTCTGCTCTGGTGACTCTGGCCTGAGCGAGACCGCTGTGGTCATTCCAGGCGCATGGCCCATGCAGCCCCCATCCCCACCAAGATTCCAAGGCTACTTCTTGTCATCCCTGGCCCCCTCCTCACCTTGCTGTATCAACACAGACCTGGTGATTAGGCCCACTGGGCACATGAGGAAACCAAGGGTTTGTCCTGGGACACATCCTGGTCACTGCCCTCTGCACCTTGTCTCTTCCTAAGAGCAGAAGCAGGAAGGCCAGTGGTCAGGCTTCAGGCTCTAGTCAGCCAGGAAGCTTACCTAGGGGCGGTGGGTACCCCAGCAAGTGCTGGAAGCTTGGTTTGTGGAGAGGCAGTGGGCAGAGGTCTTGGGTCAGGCAGGGGGATGGGGCAGTGGGTACTCCTGGCAGAGCTGGGCGCAAACCCAGAGGCCCCAGCCCTGGCCCTCTGCCAGCACACGATGGACTGATCCTTGGCCTACCCATCCGGCCTGAGCGCCCACTGGGGCTACACTGTGGACCACCACTGGCCTCCTGTGGATCTCCCCAGGGCAGGGCAGGCTGGATGCTCCTGGGCACGCACTGCAGGCCTTGCCCTACTGAGGGGCTCACTGCCCACAGGTTCCAGGAGTCTCTGTCTGACTTCCAGCTGGCTCTGGCACAGCTTCGGGGCAACAGCGTCATTGACTACTCGCAGCTAGGTCTGCGCTTTAAGCTGCAGGCCTGGGAGGTAAGGCCTTGGGACTCACGTGGCATCAGCTCCCCAGGGCCAGGGGCATGCCCCATGGATGGAGTTACTGTCGTGGCTCGGGTGGGTGAACCCAAGTCTCCCAGAGTCTTGGATGACCTGGTAAAGCTTCACTGAGGAGGCCAGGGAAGAGTGGCAGTGGACAGACTCTGGTTCTCCCTGCCTCGAGGACACTATGAAATCACAAGTGCAGCACGGGAGTCGGGAGGAGCCTCTGGTGCCAGTCTAAGGTGCAGCATGGGTAGTACTGGACAGCTCAGGTAAGACAGCGACGGAAGACTAGACAGCAGATGAAACCAGGGCGAGCCGGCACGCGCCTGTGGTTCCAGTGCTGGGGAGGCTGAGACAGGAGGATCACTGCAAGTCCCAGCTGTGTAGTGAGACCCTGTACCAAATACATAAATAAACTAAGCAGCAGATGAGGCCCACACTGTCCACCAGCCCAGGACACTGGTGGGGGAAAGGCAGGTACGGGTGCTGGCTACAGGAACTCAGGCCACGTGGCCAGCAAGCCACAGGGAAAGAGGCTTGAGAAGAGGTGGGCAGGGTCTCCTGGCGAGGCCTCAGGTGCACCTCAGACTCACAGGAAAGGTGGGGGTGAGGGCTGGGGTGGGGGAAGGGGGTGGGAGGGTGCAGCCATGTTCAGGAGAGAGATGTTAGACCCAGGAGGAGTTTTAAGGTGAGAGTAGAGTTCTGAGCAAAGAGTGGCCCTTGCTCATGTGGCTGCCATGGCAGAGGCAGACTGGCTTAGGTGGCCTGGTCCCTGCTCATAGCCCCCACATCAGCCAGATGCCAGGAGAGCTCTGGCTGCTGTGGCTGCGATACCTGGGTGTGGGACAGGTATGGGACAGGTGAAGATCCCGATGAGGTACCAGTGAGGTTCCGGTATGTGGCCCAGGCAGGAGTCAGACTCTAGACCTGAGCCCTCTAACCCCAGCTGTCACTCCTAGGTACTGTATAATGTGGCGTGTGCACAGTGCCAGCTGGGTCTGTGGGATGAGGCTGCTGACACACTGGCTGAGGCTGTGTCCAGGTGGCCGGAAAGGGCTCGGGAGGGCCTGACGACCGCCCTGTACCACGTGCAGGTGAGGGCAGGCAAGGGGTCCCCACAGCAGGGCGGCCTGTGGCCTGCAGTTTGGGGCTGGTATTTGCAGCTCACCCTCCAAGCCAGCTAGATGACACGAAGAAGCTTGTTGGGGAGATGGCCTGGAGGGCTGTGGCATGTCCCGGGCTCTAACTGTGCCCAGCAGCTACCAGCTCTGTAATTCCATCCCCAGAAGCAGGCTCCCCTGCAACCACGGCAGGTGCCCCCGGGCGAGGTCTTCCGGCCCCACAGGCGGTACCTGGAGCACCTAGAGCCCAAGGACTTCCTGGGCAAGGCCAAGGTAAGGCGTGGGTTGTCTGGGCTGAGGTACCTCTGGCTGCACGGAGAGGGCCCAGCAGCTCCCACCCTGAGCGCCCTGTTGTGGCACGGGACCATGTGGTCCCAAGGTCATTTGGATGCTGGGCAGGGCTGAGGTGACATCCCTAGAGAGGGGCTCTGTCAGGGGATGGAGCTGCTGTCTGCCCCCTGCCTGGTCCACATCTCTGAGGGTCTCCACTGCAGACCTCGAGGGCCTGGGGAGCGACAGTGGCTGCCTTGGGCTGGGTCAGCCTTGTCAGAGCCAGGAAGCACTGCCAAAACCATAGGCCTGGCAAGCAGCTCACCTCCAGAGCAGGGGAGAAACCCAGGGATGAATGACACCAACTCCCAGTGTCACAAAGGGCCACCTGGGCACTGGGCTCAGGCTGGCCACACACTTGTGGTCTCCAGCCACAGTGCTGGTGCCCAAGGAGCCACACACGACACGACTGATGCGTGACTACCATGAAGCTCAGAAGTGGGGCACGTGGAGAGGGCATGTTCCTGTGTCCATTTACAGCACAAGGGACAGCACGTGGAAGTTATGCCAGACGCTGCATGGCCACCATGGGAGCCCCTTTGCCACGCATGTCCTGTAGCCTAGCAGTCTTGGGCTGGGCATGGGTGGTACCCACCCTGGACTTCACATGCAGTGGCGCGGAGCAGGGTGGGGGAACAGGCTCTGCAGTGGCCCTACACACTTGTCTGTCTCCCACCAGGTGGTGGTCTCCACTGACCCTGAAGCCCAGTCCTTGGGTGTCCAGTCTGTGCAGGTGGGTAGGTGGCTGTCCTGTCGCCCAGCTTGTCCTGCCCATCTCCACAGAGCTGCCCTGTTGGGGCTGGGGAGATGGCTCGGTAGAGTAAGTTCTTGCCGGGCAAGCGTAGGGTCCTGAGTTCAATCCCTGGTACTGAAAGAAAAACAAAAAAAGAACTGCCCTGTCTAAGAATGGTGGTTCCGAGCCTTCTTTCTTGCCTCTCTGCTTCCCTGGAACCCTGACCTCTATTGCTAAAGGGGGCGGCTGTGCTGTCTCTGTGAGACCATCCTGCCATGGTCCCTCTTAGGGTCTGGGGTAGGGGACCTCTCATTTGTGCTCCATCCTTGGCCAGGACAAGGTTGTCATTTGTGCTTACAGGGACCGGGAGTCCACAGTGAAACTGGCTGTGAGGCTGTACCACGGTAGGAAGGGGCCTGGCCCCCACACCTCCTTCTCCTTTAGGGCAAGGCCCTTGGACCAGGCGCAGATGGGCCATCAGGGGATGGGACCAGCATCACCTGTTTGCCGACTCAAATGGGATGGGGCTCTTTGTACAAGGAAGGAGTTCCTATCTTTTCCTCCAGGAGTAAGGAACATGGTGGAAACTGAGATTCGGCGGTCACTGTGACCCAAGGCAGCTCCAGGATGAGGGATCAGGTCCATGCTGAGCTGCCCAGGGAAGGGACACCCTGACACATGATGCCACTGAGACCAGGGGCACTCAGATTGGGGGCGGTGAGGGTGAGACTGGCCCTGAGACCCTATGCCCGTACTGCCATACGTCTCACCTCAAGGAACCCTCCTACCCAGGCCCCGAGCCCTGGAGCCCCAAGGAGCCAGAACCCATGATGGCTGCCGTGGTGTAGTAAGGGAGGTTGGCTCTGGCCCTGCTGGGCAGATACACCAGATGGTGAGTTGGGCTGGCACCAGGGGCTAAGCCAGCCCTCCATGGGGCCGGACAGGCTCCAGCCCCACATTTTAGCAGGCAGGGACACTGGGGCTGGGTCAGATCAGGACAAGTGTCCAGCAAGGGTGGCTTTGGTGTACCCTGACCACATCGCAGGCCTTGCCTGTCTCTCCTGGGTGCAAGGGCCCAAGAGTGACAGAGCCGGGGACAGGTTGGGAGCAGACAGTCCTGGTGGGACCTCAGGGGTCAGGGGCCCAGCCCCTCAGCTGAGGGTGCTGCCACAGCCTTCCTTCCTAATGCCAGGGACCCTGAATTCCTGTGCCCCACACATGGGGTCCCCACCCCCCTTCCCACTCAGGGGCCCTTACACCAGGACCCACTTGTAGCTTCCCTTACAGAGGCCCAGGGTGGCGCCAGCTGTCAAATCAGCCCCTCTGTCTTCAGGTGAGGAAGTCCAGGTGCTGGGGGCTCCATGAAGGGAGCGAGTTAGCACCAGGCCTTTGGTGCTCCAGGGTGAATCGAGCAGCAGCAGCTGCCCTCGGGCCATTCTGCTCTTCCCACCACTCACTAACCCTATGTCTCTCTCAGGACTGCCTGGGCCTGGCCCCTCCAAGGTCCCTGTGAGCACCAGGGTAAGAGATGCGCTGAAGCCCAGGTCTACCCCCCAAACCTTCCCTTACCCAGGGCCCCATACCCACCCAGTGGAGACTTCAGAACTGCCTGCCCCTTGGCCCAGGGAGCAACTGTACTGGACTCTGAGGACTCTGTGACGGTCACCGTACAGTGCACCCTCACCGTGGCACTGCAGGTCCCCCGAGGGGCTGGGCTGGCTAGCCTGCAGGCGCTGCTGGCTGAGGCCCTCCCTGCCCAGGCCCGGCAGGCACAGCTTAGGTGGGTGAAGGGTGCACTGGGAGTGGGTGGGTAGGGTGACCCTCACTGTCCAACCTGAGCACTTTCTTGGAAGTTACTGGGCCCCAGAGGATGGCAAGCTCTGGGTCCCCATCCTTGGGGAGGACGCACTGCAGAAGGCATGGAGGGATGTGGCCTCTGCCCCCCATGGGCTGCGACTCCAGTGCCGGGTAAGTGCAGCAGACAGTTGAACAGGGAGCTGAATGGCAGAGGCAGTGGGCATGGGCAAGGGGGCCCTGCATCCCCGCCTCAGTCTCCTCCTGCCCTAGGGTGCTGGTGGCCGGCCAGTGCTGTACCAGGTGTCGGCCCAGCATGACTACTCGGCCCAGGGCCCTGAGGATCTGGGCCTCCGCCGAGGGGACGTGGTGGACGTCCTGGGTGAAGGTACCCTGCAGCTGTCCAGGTGGGTGCGGTCGGGGCCCAGCCTGTGTGGGGACAGATGCTGACCGGTGTCCCCTCCCCACAGTGGATGAGGCCTGGCTGGAGGGGCACCAAGACGGCTACATCGGCATCTTCCCCAAGAGCTTTGTGGCTCCAGCCGGTGGAGTGGCACCTGTGTCTGGCCCAGAGTCCAAGCAGGAAGACAGGCTCTAAGCACTCTTGTTGCGAAAGGTTTAATAAAAACACCACCACCATGTGTTGTGTGTGTGGCCTCGGCAAGGAGGGGTCCTGTGGACTCCTAGGAGGGTGCACCGGGGTGCACGGGCCCATGGTGCCACTTCTGCAGGTCCTCTGGTCACAACAGGGAACAGCGGTCCCAGTTGCCAACCTTAGGGTTCTGGAGGCTTGGCTGGTTGGTGCAGGAAGGCCTAGTTGCCTAGTGGCTGGGGACAGAGGGGCCAGGGTCTGGCAGAAGGACAGGGAGGCCACAGCAAGGGACACAACGTCCATGCTTCTCTCTCAAGCGCTGCTCACCAACCCGGGCTGCCGAGGTGGCGATGCCTCAGACAATCCCGAGTCCCAGCTGTGGCCATCACAGTCTGTCCTGGCAAGGCCTGGCTAGTCCTGGAGCCAGAGGAGATGGACTGCAGCAGCCCCAAGAATAGCCACCAGGGTCAGCACTACAAATGCCACTCCAGCTGCCCAGACCTTGTAGTTCTGTGCCCGCCACTCAGCTGGTACCTCGGCTGGGATCATGCCAGTCAGATTCAGCATATAGCCCAGTGTCCAGCCAATGTCAGTGCCGCTTGCCTGTGGGACGCAGTGGCTCAGGGCTCTGGGCAGCTTCCCCAGACCCTGCCCGGGGACTGTGCACGGTGGGGGCATCACCTGCTTCTGGAACTCTATGCTGGGCCAGGTCTCCTCTTGGAAGCCGTAGCCATCCCGCAGCAGCGTGAGCATGTACAACCCTGAGGCACAGTAGTACGGCAGCCAGCGCTCCTGGCCAGGGTAGCTGGCTTCCACCTGGGGCCAGTGTGCCCGGGAGCCAGTGAGGGCCAGGACTCTGATACTCCCTGGCCAGTTCCCTGGCCAGTGGAGCCTCTAGGCAATGGGGGTGCCCTCCCTTGTCCCCACAGGGACTGTGAAGAGTGGGAGAGGTCCATGCCAGCCACCATGACTACCAGAGGCTAGGGATGGAGCAGGACAACAAGGGGCTCCACCTTTCCCTGACTATAGTACCCCCAAGCTGCTGCTGCTGCTGCTGCTGCTGCTGGCTAGCATGGGCTCCACCATCAAATCTGAGTCCTGAGAAACCCACGAGATGGGGAGGGCTGGGACAGGGAATGGGTCACCCACCAGCCTCCAGGGCCTCTGGCAGAAGTCCCAGACCGAGGCATTCACAGTACTCAGCGGCTGCCTGGAGGTGAGGTTGAGGAAATGGAAGGTGTAGTAGAAGTTGGAGAAGGCCTAGGGGAAAGGACAGGTTGTGTGCACCTGCAGGAGGCCAAGGCCTTGTGGGCCCGCACCTGCATCCTGCACCACCCGGGGCTCTGCTGGGCTCCTGGGGTCAGCTGATGCCTGGCCCAGAGGGCGTGGGGCACTAGGTGCTCACATAGAACTGCCCCTGCAGAGGGGGCTGGTAGGCCCCGTTGAAGGCGCAGTCTCCCTGGTCCTGGCAGCTGAAGTTGAAGAGCTTGCGGATGGCCATTACACAGGCCCCAGGGTTGCCCATGCCCTCAACGCTGAGGTTCTGCGTGGGGTCCAGGGGTGTCACGGTGTGGACACAGGGCGACTCAGACAGGGTGGCCATGGGCAGGGTGGTCCGGTAGCCACTGTGGTAGCATGGGTGTCGCAGCAAGGCAGACGGGCTGCTCTGCAGGGAGGGCCGAGGGCTGAGCTCCAGCCGGGCCCCCCGGGCCTGCATGCTGGTCTCCCCACACCAACCAACCTGCAGCAGCCCACCCAGCAGCCTGAGCAGCACTTGGTCACGCCCGAAGCAGAGGTGGCTGTGCGTGTAGACGCTGTAGTTGGTGCCATAGAGGTGGAAGGTGGCCTGGCTGCTCTGGTCCAGGATGGGGCCACGGGGCATGAAGCAGATCTGGGTGGAGGCCCCGCCCATGTCCAGGGCGCCCACTAGTGTCCCCTCGGCGGGCTGAATCCACTGTCCAGAGGAGTACTGTGCACAGACAGGCGCTCAGCCCTGGCCGCAGCCTTGCCCTGCCCATCTGCCAGCCTCGCCCTTGGGCCACCACACACCTGGATCAGCCTCCCCAGCAGGTAGTTGACAGTGATCCAGCTAAAGGCTCCTTCGTCCTGTCCAGTCAGCACCTTAGCACCCCAGAAATCCAGGGGAGACTGGCCCAGGACCTGAGAGACAGCTGTGAGGATGTCCCTCGCCTGGGAGTTGTTCTTCTGCCTGGGCAAGGATGGGCCAAGCTGGCGGGAAGCTGGCTCAGCCCTGCTGCCCCACTCTGCATGCACAGCCCCACACTGGCCTCACCTGAGCAGCCTCATGCCAGCTGTGGCCCCCAGGAAGACAGGCGTCTCCCCCTGCCGAGCTGCCGGCACCAGTGCCAGTGCCTCTTCCAGACAGCCCCTCAGACTCTCACCTGCCCGTGCGGGGTCGGAGGCATAGGAGGAGATCCCAGGCCCTGAAAAGGTGCCCAGGACAAGGTCCAGGCCAGGGCTGGAGGCAGAATGGTAGCTTCCTCACAAATACACCCGAGGCTTGCAAACCATACCACGGAAGACCTGGAGATCACCTTGGACTCCCTGGTGGGCCCTACACCTGTGCAGTGGACTTGGGGTGGTGGGGCCTCCAGCCCTGTCCCCTGCCATCAGAGGAGCTGTAGTCTTGGCCGCCAGCACCCCCAGTTCCAGGTGGGCAGAGAGGGATAGGGGAGGTGGGGTGACAGTCCCGTAGGGTGCAGCCCAGCCTGTGCTGCAGTTGTGAACCCTCCCATGTCTAACCCTCCCATGGACCTTTCCCTGCCAGCCCTGTGCAAGAACTGCCCACTGACCTTCTGCCTGGCAGGCTAAGGCCTGGCTGACAACACCAGTGTCCTTCTCTTTGTTCCCTGGCCACTGGTACACAAAAAGGGATGTATGGGAGGAGCCAGCATCGAACACAATCCCGAACTGGGGGGAACACTGGGTCAGCAGAGTCCAGTAGCCAGTTGCCCCACCCCACCCCCAGCAGTGCAGGGTGCACCTTGGTCTCTGCAGGCAGCAGGACGCTGGTCGCCTCTACCAGGATGAGGACGAGCACAGTGAGGCCTGAGGCTGTGGCCACCCCTAGCAGGACCATGAAGATCCGCTCCTTCCATGATGGCCTCATGGTGGGTGCGGGTGCCTGTAGGGCGAATGGGGACAGCAGTAAGCACCAAGACTCCTGCCCCGCCCACTCAGGTGCCCTCAGCGCTGCACAGGTCCTAGGATGGCCCACAGGGTCTGATTAGCCCTTTTCAGTGTTACTGTCGGGCAAGTGGCCTCTGTGGGACCATCAGAAGGGATGGGACGCCCTCACCTTGTGCTACAGGGCAGCCCTGCTCCCCCTCCCCTCAGCCTCCTTCTCTGTCCTAGACTGAACTCCAGCCCCACCCAGCCTCACCCCAGCAAGTTTCTCACGAGCCTGCACCAGGCCTGGCAGGTGGGGGCCACACACGCACCTTGTGCAGCTGCCTCTTAACAAAGACCTCTGTTTCTTTTTGCAAACCCAGCCTGAAAGTCTCCACCCTGAATCTGAGACTTTCTCACTGGCCCCAGAGGGCCTGAGGCAGGTGACCGGGCTGACTGCACATTATTCCTGGGCCTGGTCACCCACTCCTCCTGCCCAACTCAGGGCTCAGCCCCAACCACCCTGGCCTGCTGCACAGAGGGGCTGCTAGCCAGCCTGTGCTTGGAGCTGCTGCACCCTGGACGTTGCAGCCCAGGTGGAAAGGCCCCAGCCCCAGTACATGGAGTCCCAGGACTTATCCTGTCACTTGTCCTCTAAGAATGCCAACACTCCCCATGTGCATCACCGAACCAAGGGCAGGTGGGCCTGGCTGTGTGTCCCCTCTGGAGAAGGGGGAGGCAGGGAGGACAGGCGAGCTGCCCAGCCTCCAGCCTGTACCCTCGCCAGCACCCATGCTCCCTTGAGAAAAGGGCACGGGAAGCATGGGACAAAGAGACCCTCTGGGAGAGGAGCCACTGAAGATCCCTACCTGGAGCAAGTCAGCCCCTGCCCAGGACAGTCCCCAGCCCAGCAGTGTCAGCAGACCAGGAAGGTCCTCAGAGCCACAGCTCCCTGACCAAGGCAGTCCCCAGCCCAGCAGTGTCAGCAGACCAGGAAGGTCCTCAGAGCCACAGCTCCCTGACCAAGGCAGTCCCCAGCCCAGCAGTGTCAGCAGACCAGGAAGGTCCTCAGAGCCACAGCTCCCTGACCAAGGCAGTCCCCAGGCCAAGAAGGTTCCAAGCCAGGCCACCTGCTGGGCACACTCACCTGACAGCTGACCGCACAGGACTGGGACCACTGTGCCCAGGTGCACCGGCCCTGGGCACCTGCCGTGCTCGTCTCAGTCCGCTTCCATCAGGACCTGGGGTGGAGGTGATAGGCATGTTGGCCCTGGTGACAGAAGTCAGGGGCTGCCACCAGGGTCCGCTCTGCCTGTCTCACCCACCCGCCATCCTGAGCCCTGGGAGGGGACAGAGGAAGTCAGGGTCCTCACTGTGACCTTGCAGCTGCGCTGGAATGTGGATAGGCAGGTGTGGGGAGCCCGGAGACCTGCAGTTGGACCTTGCCCTCTGCCCTGTCTGCGAGGCCTGTCTAGGGCAGAGTCAGGTGATGCTGACCAAGAGGCAAACAGAGCTGGCCACTGCCGGGGAGGGGAGGACGCAGGGAGGGCATTCGCCTCCACCTTGGCTCAGTTGCTTTTCCACCCTTAGGTGTAATTTTCTTTTTTCTACCTAAGCCCTGCTGTATGTGCCGCTGCCACGGACTCTGGTGCCCCCTGCTGGCGGTCTACACTCAGCCCCCGGCTCTTGCAGGGTGTGGGAGGTCCTTGCCGACCCTTCCTCTGTGCTTATCCCTGTGGACACAAGACAGCGTGACAAGCCTCGCCCCTGCAGCCAAGCAGGGAAGCTGGCCTCCACCTGTGGGTGTACATGGGTGGGCCGGCAGAGCCGAGGGTTTCAGCCACATGCAAACCTGGGCCACCATTTTCTCCCAGGAGGGCTAATTCCACTGCACCCTGGCTGACATGCTATGACAGTTCATGCTTTCAGGCCACCTGACCACGAGGCCTCATTTCCTGAGGTACCAAGACCCTCACCCCAGGCCAATTCCCAGCTTTTAAAAGCATTTTTTTTTCCAAGTTTTATTTGTTCGGAGTCAGGGTTTTACTATTTGTTCAGTTGCTCAGGCTGGGCTCAAACTTGTGATATTGCTGTGTCCACCTCCCAAAGTGTGGCCCGCCTTTTGTGGACATTTATCTCAGCCCTTCAGGGACCTGGCTTCTTTTGCCTGGCTTTTTTTTTCAGAACCGGGGATTGAACTCAGGCCCTTGCGCTTGCCAGGGAAGCGCTTATTCTACTGAGCCATCTCCCCGGCCTTGCCTACGTCTTAATCAGATTGTTCCACATTAGGGTTAAAGGGTTCCTTGCGCAGTTTCGACCTCGGTCCTTGTTGGATATGCATCTTGAGAATATTTTCTCCCAGTTCGTAGACCGTCATCACTTTAGCAGCGCACTCACTGCATGCTCAAACGCTTGCCGAGCTCCACCTTTTCAACCCGTGCCTGATGTACAGTGCTTTTCCTGTCACGACCAGGAACTGAACGAGCCTTGCAAGGCCAGTAAGTCACCCGATCTCCTGAGCAGGGAAACAGCGAGGACCTCAGAGAGCTGCCCAGAGGAAAGTCACTGGGGCACAGTGGCCCATGCTTTCAAAAAGAGCCCTGTGGCCAGGCAAGACCATGACTCATGGGGCCGATGACACACTGGTGATGCGCGGCTCCTCGCCACAGCAGTACCAGGAGCCCTAACCGGCCTTAAAAAATGTGTGTGTCTCCTAGGTCTTATTCTGACTTGGTCTTCAACATCCAGCAAAAAGTCTAACCCAAAAGAAACAAAAGAAGAGGGGCTCGGCCTGGCAAGTGCAGGGTCCTGAGTTCAATCCCCAGTAC